TATATATATATATATATATTAAAATTTTAAAATTTTTAAATTTTTAATGAGAAAGACTAAAATTGCACAATTATGATATTTGAGAGATTAAAATTGTTCAATTAAAAATTGTGAGACTAAAATTACACAACTGTAATCTTTTAAGGACTGGAATTACTCAATTAAAACCTTAGGGATCAAAATTGCATAATTATAATACTTGAGCGATCAAAAACACAATTAAGCCAAGAATATTCTATTCTCAGTTTTGGAACCAGAACGGGTCGTTCTGGGTCCAGGTGTTTTCAAAAAAATTGTCATCCACGTATGCATCTACGTGGCATCCACGTGACCAAAAGTTAACTCCGTTTAAATAATTTGGACGGAAGTCCCACATTGAAACTAATTAATTAATTTGGGACTAAATTGAAATCAGTTAATTAGTTTGGGATCAAATTGAAACCAAAAAAAAAGTTGGGACTAAATTGAAACAAACAATTAATATAAGGGACCAAAATAGGGTTTTAGCCTATATTTAATGTGAACAAAATCATTTATGTTTGTAGTAGCATTTAGTGTAAGGTTTAATTTTTTATGTTTATATATAACTATTTATTGGTTTAAATATCTTTTTATTCTTTTTTTTCTTCTAATTTTTATCCGTATCTCTTTTTTATTTCTTATCGTAACTTTTATCATTGTATCAAATGACACTTCAAACATTTGGACACTATTTCAAATCAATTTAAGTCAATTGATGCTTGATATGGGACTCAAATCAATGATAAAAGTAATTGTAGGAATAAAAAAATTTATAAAGACCAAAAGTTAAGAAGCAAATTTTAGAGACCAAAAGTAAAAATCAAGTATTTCAAGGATAAAAAAAATATTTTACGCTTCTATATTTATCCTCCTTGTTTTGATTTAAGTTTGTAGAGCTAGTTTTGAAAACGTATTTAGAAACATGTAAGCCGACAAAAGTAGCATGTATAACGTTTTTCTGGTATTAAAAACTTAAATCAAAACAAGTGTTATTAAATAGGTTTATTTTTCAATTTTAAAAAACGAAAACTATTTTGAAAAAAAAAATTCTTCAAACATGCCCTTAATCTGTTAATAAATACTAGGTAGAGATGAATTCAAATGATAGGGTACACCAACTTAATCTTTCTAAATTTGCATCATAATTAAACAGTGAAACCTTGGTCGTAAAAGCATTATTGAGGAACAAAAAAAAAAGCTAACAAGATATCAAAAAGTCGAACTTTCAATTTCTTTTGATTGGTCTACAGTTCGGAGTTTTGTTTTTCTTCGTTTAAACTTTTGTCGTTCACTCCCACAAGCTCAGTGTCAAATATAAGTGTTGCACCACCTGTAAGTTCAAAGTCATGCGAGCATATATTAATAATATAGTTAGTTGGCTGTGTACAAAATATAGAAAAGTAATATAAACTAAAAAATTGAATATTCATGGAAATGCCACAATTTTAATATTGTTTGCTCACACTATTTTTCAAAAAGTTCTTATTCTATAAACTCATAATAGAATGCCTTTAAAAATTTATGGAATTAATACGATCTAAAACACAAACAAATTATCAACATAGAAAGACACATCGAAGGGTTGTACTCTTCATCTGAGCTTTAAAGTGGCATATCTTAAAGGAAACGGATCAGAACTGCCAATGCCATGGGAGGCTAACCAGTGGTTCATAAAAACAGGCAGCAATCTGATCATTATATAGCTGTCAAACATAAATTTCTCTAACTAGTAATAAGTAGAACATTACTATCATTATAAACATGGCAGAGAAAAGAGACTCTTTGTGACTCAATATATTTAATTTTGAAGAATTTTGGACAAAGATGGTTGTAAGATTAAAAAAAATATAGACATTTGAGACTCGAGAGTAAGTAATCATATACATTAGTAAAAGTGGGTATGAAATGGAAACCAAATGAAAGTTACTCAGAGAAGTATTTCATTTATATATAGTATAGATAGATGATAAATTACCTGGAATAGTGGGTGGGGAACCCTGCTCTCCATAACCAAGTTTTGCTGGTATTTTCAGCTTCCGCTTCTCACCAAGACACATTCCCAATAAACCCTGGTCCCACCCTGCAAAGAGAGGAAGTGATCATGGAATCCTCTATCTTGAAATAAGACTACCCATCAACCATAAACCAGTAATTTGCAATAAAATTACATCATATATTCTAGTGTGATCATGTAAATACACCCATGCATGCATATGAGCATAAATTATAGCACATATATTTGGTGGCTATATAAGTTAAATAATAAAAAGCACATAAATTCTAATGTCAGTATAAATTGTAGCCCATCAATTGCATTTTCTTTTATTGTAATGCTGACAGGATACTAGAAAGAGCAGGGGAGGACATGAAGAGAACAAACGTACAAAAACAAGGTGAATTCACATATTACAGTACCATACAATCAATCATCCATGATTGATTGTACTGTGATTCTCCTCGTTGTTTCCAACTTCCACAACTCTTCCTCTTGTGCTACGGTGATCTGGCATGCAATTTCTTAACAGTTTGCAGTGTATTTTCTCTTTTTATTTAATATACATTTTATCTTTCATATTCAATAATTGAAAAAGCAGGCACAACAGCTAGTTGATTACCACCTTTATTGGTAAGGAAACCATAAATTCAAATGACTGAAGTTGTTTATGCACAACATACCTTTGATCACTTGACCACTACCAAGCTCAAAATCAATTGGATTATTTCTTTCAAAGCTAGAATCAAACACAGTTCCATCGGTGAGTTTTCCCTGCAAAAACGAATGAATATATAATATGCAAGCTCATGATTCAACAAAATACTAAATGAACACATTATCCCTCATCACATGAACAAATGAAATGAGATTTAAAAATAATAATCCTTAGAGTATCATGTGGTGTTGCCTCTAAAACAAAAACAAACAGAAGCAAGGATAACCAAGTAACACAGCATCAAAATGACTGCAGGTGATTTCCAGTTGGGACTATGTTCCAGATACTATCTCATCTCGTTATTTCAATGGGTTGTATCAGATTATTGCCCAGACTATGAAACATCAAAATTTACCACCAAGTTAGACTAAGATGAAAATACACAGTTCCATCGGTGAGTTTTCCCTGCAAAAACGAATGAATATATAATATGCAAGCTCATGATTCAACAAAATACTAAATGAACACATTATCCCTCATCACATGAACAAATGAAATGAGATTTAAAAATAATAATCCTTAGAGTATCATGTGGTGTTGCCTCTAAAACAAAAACAAACAGAAGCAAGGATAACCAAGTAACACAGCATCAAAATGACTGCAGGTGATTTCCAGTTGGGACTATGTTCCAGATACTATCTCATCTCGTTATTTCAATGGGTTGTATCAGATTATTGCCCAGACTATGAAACATCAAAATTTACCACCAAGTTAGACTAAGATGAAAATACATAGTTTAGTAACATTACTTCTAGAAAGTGACTCAGAATTTTCTCAAAATAGGATAGAAGATTAACCATAAGGTGATATTATCCATCTCATTAAAATCCAGAACAAGGCATGTTCAAGATATAACAACACCGGAGGGAAATTAAAATTGCTAACAGTTATTATTAATATTTTGCATTGTTTATTATATAATATAATATGCGTATATATATATATATATATATATTATAATTGATTCAAATTAGGGTTAATTTTATTGATGAATGATGAGTGAATATTAAACTTGAGAAATTACTCACCCGATAGTGTACTTTGACTTTATCTCCTTTGTGTGCCTGAACTTCACATGTTGCTGGTTTATGCTGCAAAGTGACAGAGCATCAAAACTAAGCAAAAAAGAGGGTACAAAACTTAGTTATGCCGTAACAGACAATTAAAATAACCTTGCCAATGTATATTGACAAGCAATAATTTCAGTATCACTGGAAATTATAAATGTTGCATCATTCACAGGGGAAAACAATTTTTTCCCCATTTTCAATCTCCACAACAAATTGCCAGACATTTCCATTTCTATCCTTACTAACAATCTGCCAATGCTATCTATCACCATGAACTCGTGAAACCTCACAGCAGACAGCGTACATTTGTAAACCGTACTTTGCTTTCTTTCTCTTAAATAATAGTACTTTTCAAGATCACACTATACCACTAGCTATATCTTTCAAAGCTATAGTCAACCTCCGATATTGTATCTATACTTTATTTTCGAAACACAAATCACAGAGCATACTACCACAGTTTTTTTTCTTTTCTTTTGTGAATGATAGTAGTACTATTTTATCTAATAAAATTGCCTAAAAGATCAACTATTACTTTAGCCATTTGACATTTCTAACTCATAATACGGTCACACAATATTCCACCTCCATGCAAGGCTTTTCATTGCACTTTCACGCAAACCAGTTAAGAAGAAACAATACATAACGTCTAAGGACCTGAAGCCATAAGATTTGCATATAATTATTATTTTATATAATAAAAAATACCCTAAACTAAGGAAAGATCACTTGCCCAGTCACATTCCGTAACAAAATTTCATATTGTTCAATGTGTTCACACTCACCGATACCCATTAAATCCATTGGGATCTAGTATCAAATACAAAATATTCCAAAATTTTAACAAAAAGAAAAACTTCATAAACTGTACAACTCACTTCAAACCTTAAGCCTCAACTATAAAAGATGACATGGATCTCAATCAAAGTAACAGGTTAGAGGTTACCTTCACGCCAATTTGCAACTCCGTCACATCCCCGGTTTTCTTCGCACAAACTGAAACACAGAAAAAAAAAAAAAAAAAAACTCAGAACGCGACAATAAGATATCAACGACAAAGAGAAACCGTTAACAGTGGTCAATTAAAGCGCAATGGTGACGAGATCTGAAGTAATAGTGGATCGAACAAGCCGCGAAGAGTGAAGAGGCATAGAAAGAAAGACATGTTGAAATTTGGCACGTGAAAGAGGAAGAGAGCAATACCTAATGCCGAAACGAAGAGGAAGAAGAGAAGAATAGGAACGGAATGTCGGAACCTCATTTTTTCCTCGTAAAGTCAGTCACTCTTTCGTCTCTCTTTCACTCGTACACAGAGTGGGTGTTGTTACTTATTTAATAGGACCAGAAGCGATCCAATTCCTGGCCCAGTGAGTGTGAAGAATTCTGAAATATTCGGGTCACCCAAGTTAACCCCCACCCTTGGTTCAACTCAGATTAGGCTGTCTAGTTTAAATTTGAGAGGACAATATATATTTTTTTTAATTACTAGAATTAAAAATTTTAAATTTTAAATTTGAGAAAAAAAATATATCTCTAAAAATATATTTATAATTTTTTCTTTTGAATATAGTACACAAATTATCCTAACACTAATAATAAAAAACTAATTTGTGCTCATGAGATACAAATCATACCTATTAATTGTATTTTAGTTTGTGCCTTGTGATAAAATTTTATTTTATATAATTAAAATTTCAATAGGTTAAACTTTTGATTCTTTTATTTTTTTTAATATGTAATTTTAATTTCTTTATTTTAAAATAGAGACATAGTCCATTTAATTTTAAAAATATGAAATTTTGATTCTTTCATCAAATTATTAATCATTAAATTTTCACGTTTGTTCATGTTTAATGATGTGATATTTAATAATATAATATTTGAAAATAAAATAAAAAATAAAAAATTTAATAAGATTTATTAATAAAATAAATATTAATTATTCGTTAAAATAAAAACAAATGAAAAAATTTTGTAAATTATTTTAAAATTTTTTTCCTACATGTCACATTATCACCTTATTAAATATCATATCAATTGAGTGGTAATAGATCACTGAACAACATTAAAATCTAATGATCAACAAACATCAAACCGACGGTAAGACTAAAATTTTATTATATAGATTACTTAAATGTTACTCATTGTCAGATTTAAACCCAATTTGACACTCACATAGGTCATTAATTGTCATATTGAGGCTTAAATGTTGCGATTTTATAATTTTTAAGTATAGTAGACGATTACACCAAGCCTTGAGGCCAGTATAGAAGTTGTAGATAATTACCTTAGTTTTCTCGCCATGTTAGACACACTTTTAAGATTCCAAATGCCATGTCAAAGTAAGGCTATCTATCTCACTCACGTTGGATGCAAGATTGATAGTGTTGAGAGTGAGGAGAGAGAATCGTCTCAAATTGAAATGACATTGGGCGTGAGAAGAGAGAATCATCTCAGGTTGGATTGGGGTTGTGCATGGAACTCATTCACACCAGGCTTGAGGTCCTAAGGATTTCTACATAATCCACATCAAACATGGGTTGTGTAGTGTTGGACATGGGCGAAACAAAGGATTCCCTGTGTAGATGGCATTGGGTGTTGTCTGTGTTGTGTCGAGTGCTGAATTGTTGAATAAAAACTTGATGTTTGGTTGATAGATTGTTGAATATGAGATTAGTATAAATATATGTTGCCTATTTTAAGTTGCTAAACATTGATTATATTCATACATACATATATATATATATATATATATATATATATATATATGTATGTATGTATGTATGTGCGTGTGTGTGTGTGTTGATATAGGATGATAATTAGAGATGATTGATGATTGAGAGTTGAAAATGAGTTGAGTTGTATGTTGTTTGTTATATATGTTAATCAAGCTCAAGATGAAGACATGATCCTAGTTAATTTTGATGATTACAAATAAGCTTCTTGAGAGATAAGAGTGCAACTTGTAATTTGTTTTGAGTTTTGAGTCTCTTGATAGATAAAAGTGCAAGTTGTATATTATTTTGTGTGTTTTAAGTTTTGTTGCTTGTATATTTTGTACTTGGTAAGTAACTTAGACTTTTATCTCTATCTAGATGATGATTGATGATTTAGATGTTTTAAAATTGAATTGTAAAGAGAAATGATATGAAAAATCGAGATATTAAGTTTTCACTTAAAATAATCAATTATTTCAAGTAATAATCAAATATTTGCTCTATTTTTCAGTTACTCAAGGAACAATTTCTATAATAATCGATTATTTCAGAAACATGGTTCTAGAATAATCGATTATTATTGCTTAAAATAGTCGATTAAACTATTCTTCGGTAAGAACAAAATAATCGATTATCTATGTAAATAATCGATTATTTTAATCAAAAAACTTATATATATAATTTTTCACACTTTGAATAGAGAGATTTGATTCTTTGTGATATCTCTTTCAAAAATACTCTCTGAGACACATTTTTATTAGCAATAAGAGGTTTTTTAACCTTTGTGATAACCGCAAGAAAGTTTTCTTAGGTAGGTTTCTTAAGAAGGGAGAATCTTGTAGCGGGGAGCTACAAGTAAATGTTTCTTAGGGTGTAAAAAGTGGTTTATTTAATTGTATACAAGTGTATTGCATGTGATATTGTGATTGTAAAAATTTTGATATTAAAGATTAGTGAAAAATCTCAATTGGGTAGATTGGGGACTGAATGTAGGTAACAAGTAGATGTGGTTGAACCAGTATAAATTGGTTGTTCACTTTTCTCTTTTTCTATACTTGACTTTACATTCTTAAATTTTTGTTTTCATGCTTGTTGTTATGTGTTGTGAGTCATGTACATTTCATTAAGAATTGAGTGAATTTAGACTTGCATTGAATCTAAACTAAGTATCCTATATATAAGTTATAGATCAGCACACTTCTTTGAAAATGTTTAGAAAAAATTTTCAAAACCAAGATAGTTGTGCAAGAAATTTTAATCAACCAATTCATCACTTCCCTGTTGGTTAGACCATCTTTTCTAATAGTATGTTGTGTGTTGGTGGTATAGCTGAGTTGAATATGATTTAAGCATGATGTTGTGTTGTTGAGATGATGAATGTTGAGAATGATTTAGGCATTTAGTCATCGTGTTGTTGAGTTGTGTTGATTAAACTAAGGCTATAAGGGAGATTATTTTAAAGTTACATATCCCATTATGTGGATATTATGTTGTAGTGTTATAAAAACTCAATTTGTTGAAAAACCATTCGTGGGATGTTGACCCTTGAAGAGGATAGTTGAATCTCATATAGGACCTTAGTTGGTACCGTGTGCGGGCAAGGTCAAGACATACATGTATAAAGCGACCAATTGAGTAAAATACAAAGTAGGAAACTTAGTTGCTAATCAAGTATCAGAAGGGTATAGTATTTGGAGGATAGTTAGTGATAATCCTATATGAGACTTAGTTAAGCTAGTTAATGTCGTGGTAAGTCCTTACTCGGTTATTTTATCCTAACAAAAGTACTAGAATTCCTTGTTTAAGTAGCAACATCCGAGAAACCAATTGTTGTGTTATGGATTGATATCCAATTTGTTATTAATCTAGCAAGCCCAAAAAGATCATCTTGTGTTGTTGGTTCGGTAGGATTAAACCACTCAGACTGTTCACTTTGTGTTATAGGAGATCTCGTAATTGAAATGCATGATGATACATGTAGTTGTTGTATTGTGTATATTATGTTGTTATGAAGAAAAAATTGAGTTGTTGATGAAGTGATGTTCCAATTGATATTGTGCTATGGTAGACTGAGTTGTTCGTGTTGATATATATTGGTTGTGTTGTGATGTTATATGTTGATAGTGTTGAAGCCATAGTGAATATGTGATGATATATTAATGTTATTGATACTTATGTATTGTATATATGTTGTTTCTTTAAACTCTAACTTACCCTTGTGTGTTTCAATGTAGATGAATGGCGATGATCATATTTGGTATTGGAGCAGAGCATTGATAGGTTTCTGTGGGAGTTGTTTTGGAGGCCACATTGAGATTGGTGATGTCAATATTTTGTGTAACCTTGGAGTAGCTAGTTTATAGTAGAAGTTATTTGATTGACAACTTAGGTTATAATTTACTTTTATTGGATTATCGTATTTATATCATATATATTTTTATAGTTGTTTCACTTTCATATGAATGATATATAGTACATGTTCAGACATCAGTAGATATATAACTCTAAGTTATTAGTTGTCTTCCACTATTAGTCATTAAGTCGTTAAGTGTACGAATCATGATGAGTTGTTACAAAATACACTAAAGATAAAATAAAAAAAAAGCATTTTTAGGGATTTAGAATAATAAAAAGATTGAAAAGATAATTAAAAATTTATAATAAAAGATGCCACAAATTGAATTCACTAACTTTCCTCACACGTATTGTTCCCAATTATTATTCAATTTCAGTAATTATCAAGTTAATCTAACAACTAATGAAAATATTTTAACCTAATTTCTTAGGTGAGATTCTAGATTCTTAAAGAAAAATCACAATTCCTTGGTGAAGTTTGTTAAGTAACTCGCATTAAGATTGGAAGTCTAAAACATTGACTAATAAGACTTATCTCATTCCTAGTTATAAATGTTATTAGTGTTAATCTTCATATCATAGTTTCACAAAAGATTTTTCAACCTCAATTAAATCTATGAGATTATGCATTGAGTGATCAAACCAAAAACAAACATTAAGAATAGAAACAAAATAATTAATTGAATAAAAATATTTATTGAATAAAAACAAGAAGAATTACATGGAGTTACATCAATCCCCAACAATGACTCCTTCTATTATTTCAAATCTATCTAAAATATAAAATAAATAGAGTCTTTATATATTATCTCCAAATCCTATTTTTACAAGATTTTAATGGTTTTTTTTCCAATTGGGTTTATGATGTCCATTTGCTCAAAGCAACTAGTTAGCTCGATTAAGCGAGCTTGATGATGGGTTTAGTTGGCATTGTTGAGTTCTTTGTGATACTTTAGGGGTGTCTTCTAAGTTGGTTCGCTTAGAGCTTCCAAATGACTTGTTTTGAGTGAGTATGAAGTCATTCAAAGCACGCTTCCCTCTTACTCTGAGCAAGTGCTCCCAATGTTTAGGTTCTTTAACACTAGCTCCTTCTTACTTGTATCTCAAAACTAACAAAAAAATCATTAAAAAAAAACACTTAAAACTAAAAGAACTTTACTAATTAACGGAATAAAATTAAAATACTAATTTTTAACAAAAACAAGACTCTAAAGCATAAGATATGTTAGATAATTGCCAAAATTGAATTAAAGATATTGATATATTTGACAATTATCATGGTCTGATGGAGTTTATGCATTAATGCATAATTTATTTGGAGGTAAGTGCGAGACTATTTGGGATAGTCTTTATGGTCTTCTACCTTGGC